TCCTTCCTTCCTTCCTTCCTTCCTTCCTTCCTTCCTTCCTTCCTTCCTTCCTTCCTTCCTTTCCTCCCTCCCTCCCTCACTCCTCACTTCCATTCCTATTTCCTACTTCCCTTCCTCCCTCATCTTGCATCCTCCTGTCTTCTTCCCATCCTGTCTTCTTTCCATCCTTGTCTTGCTTTCTCCTTCCTTCCTTCCTTCCTCCCACCCATCCACCCTCCCATTCCTATTTCCTTCCTTCCTCGTCTTGCATTCTTCTTTCTTCTCCTGTCTTCTTCTCCCTTCCTTGCCCTGCCTTTTCCTTCCTTCCGTTCCCATTTTCTCCCTCCCTCCTTTCCTCTCCTGCCTTCTCTGTCCTTCTTTCCTCGCCTCTCCTTTCCTTCCTTGTCCTTTCTAGTAAACACCGATGTGTGCAGTTTCTGCCTGGCTATGACTGAGTTAACGTCAGCAGGGGAAGGGGGCGAACGGCGAAGGCAAAAGGTTGCCTCGATTTGTGGAGGTACGTACTCTGCATGGTACAGCTGGAAAGGTGTGAACTGTAATTCCAGGTTCAAGCAGCTTTCTGTGAAGAACCAAAAAGGGAAAAAAGGAACAGGAGAACCAATGAGAAACAGGCAAGGTTCCCAAACTTATAACCATTTGTTTAGTGGCTGTTGTGGTTATCCAGCAGCAGGTGCAGATGGCTGAGGAGAGTGAGGACTCTGATGAAGGGCCAGGACCATCAGGGAGTGGACTGCTGCCTTCAGAGATGGTGGGGGCTGGCAGCAGTGACGAGGAGGTTCCCAAGGAGCCTGTGCCAAGCGCACGTGCACAAAGGATTGCTCGGAGGAAAGAACAATTACAGCAGCACAGGCGACTCGAGAGTAAGGCTGCCAGGTAATGACTCCTTCCTCAAGAGGATAAAACTAGGTTTGGAAAAGTGTTCTTTGCAGACAGCAAAGAAGCTCTGAAGCTCAACTGGTGGACATCTTAGTTTGTGTTTGGAGAATCTTGCAAATTAGTTATTATCTCTGGGTTATTGGCAGCCTTGACAAACAACTTGGCAAGGCTCTTTCTTGTCGGAGATAATGGTTGGAAAGCAGCCTTTTATCTATAAAGGAACAGCATTCGTGATTAAACCTTGAAAGGGTGGGGGGGGCTGCTGCCTTTGTCTGTGTTTGCTTTCTGGGAACCTGGTTGGGTCAGAACAGTGACCAAAGTCACAACAGCAGCGAAAAAGTGACTCACAACCAGTCCTCACACCTACGACCGTCACAGCATCCTGCCAGTCACGTGATCAAAATTCAACCGGGCTGTATTTTCAATGGGTTGAAGTGTCCCAGGGTTGTGTGATTATCCTTTAGGTCCTTCCCAACTGGCTTCTAGCAAGCAAAGTCAATGAGGGAAGCCAAATGTCAACTTGTAAAACATTCCTATGCCTGTTTTCAAGTTGCCATAAACAAGAGGGGGGGGGGAATGTGAAGGAGCAATAAACGGCAGTTCAAAACCAGAAGTACATTCCACGCTTATCTGACAAAGATTGTAGCTAGGCTACCGGATCGTCTGCCTGGGAAAATCCTTCTTTGGAGAATGTGATTGAGGACACCCAGCCCTGTGAACGTGCTTCATTGGAGAATCTGATTTATGATACAACCAGGGAGGAGGCGGGAAACAGGGTCATAGGTGACTGTGCCAGAACCCTGACACCAGATTCACTGAATGACCACCCGATTCACTTAACAACTGCGGTGATTTGCTTAAGCATGGTTAAAAAGGTAATAAAATCAGGCATGTTTTGTTTCACAACTGCCTTCTTTATCAATGGAAATTCTTGTCCCAGTTCTGGTTCGTAAGTTGAGGATTACCTATAGGAGGAATCTCCAACCTTGGCAAATTTAAGCCTGGCGGACATCAACTTCCAGAATTCTCCGGCCAGCTTTGCTTTGAATTCTGGGCATTGAAGTCCACCAGGTTTAGAGTTGCCAAGGTTGGAGACCCGATCTGTAAGGTTTACATTGGGGGATTATGAGCGTGTCCAAGAGAAATAATATCCTCAAACTGAAGGGAAATTATCATTATCAAGGAGTTGGCATTATTACCCTAGCTAGATACAATTTCCGAGATATTCTTTGAAAAATATACCAAGCCAAGTGTCCGCAAAAGAAGTCTCTTGATTGCAAGGTAAAAGGCACTGCATGCTGGTTCTTGTAGTCATCATGGTTTCTATCACTTGGAGCAACTACCCTGTTTCCTGGAAAATATGACCTACCCTGAAAGTAAGTCCTAGCTTGGTTTTTTTACATGAGCACTCAATATAAGCCTTACCCCCAAAATAAGCCCCAATTAAGATCCTGCCCACTCCAGAGTGGATGAGTAAAAGTTAAGCTAGGTTAGGGATCGGGGTGGGAGTGGAGCTGCCCTACTACTTACCTTTGGACAGTTGTAGCCAGACCTCGCACACCCCCGACACCTGCCTTGCCAGCCCACCACTTCTGCAGCTTGCAAGGCTGGCAAGGCTTTCCTGAAGGCCTCTGTAGCTGATAAGAAAGCTCTGGATCAATCCAGAGCTCTGTTATTGGAAAGCCTTGCCAGACGCAGAAGTAGTAGTTCCTGAAGGCCTCTGACCGCGAAAAGGAGGATGGAGGTGACGCGCGCAAGTTAGGTTAATCAGTGGATGACATCCCCTGAAAATAAGACCTGGTGCCTTTTTTGGTGGCCAAAACCAATATAAGACAGGGTCTTATTTTCGGGGAAACACAATAACTAAGTGTTTCTGTTCTCGTGTTAAAACAGCAGCCACGGGGAATCAATTGTTTAAAAGAGTCATATTTTTTTAATAAACAAGGAAACATTTGTCCCAGGGACAACTGCACGAATGAAGGACCTTCGCTATTTTTCTTATATCCATTCTCTCAAAAGGGAGGATTTTCAGAAAACCTTGAAGAGGCCAGGGAGGGAAAAACAGGAAGAAGAAAAAACAGATGGCATCGGAGAGCAGAGTTGTGCGGAGAAAACTTACGTGCAATAGAATCCAGATTGTATTCAGAGCCGGGTTCATAGTCGCAATAAATATTAAGGAACGGGCTGGCTTTGTCTCCAGAATCCTGAAAAAGGAAAATAAGACCATGAAAAAAAACAAAAAACATGTGGCTTATATTCCACGTTGTAAAATGACAGTTAGTCCTCGACTTACGACCACAATGGAACCCAAGTTTTCGGTCGCTAAGCGAGACAGTTCTTAAGTGAGCCTTGCCCCATTTTACGTCCTTTCCTGCCACTGTTGCTATGCGAATCCCCGCCGTTGTTCAGTCAGTCGCACGGTTAAGTGAATCCGGCTTCCCCATTGCCTTTGCTTGTCAGATGGTCGCAAAAGGGGATCCCGGGATGACCGTCATAAATAGGAGCCAAGTGTCTGAATTTTGATCATGTGACTACGGTGGTGTGAAAAACGGCCATAAGCCCCTTTTCTCGGTGCCGTGGTTAATTTTGAACGGTCACCAAATCAAATCATTGTAAGTCGAAGTCTACCTGTAGGATCCAACAACCTGTCACTAAGCGAATAAAGGTGAGTGATGGGAGAATACAGGTTCTAGGGAAAAGATAAGAAATACGTTTAGCCAAAAAAAGAGGGGAAAAGAACCAAGAGAAAATTCATACGCAATTATCATATTAATGGATTTTTCGTTGAACACCAGTGTTGCATGTTAATAAAACCTATAAAATATCTGTCAGGGTTCCGACGGGCGCCCTAATTAAACCACGAGCCTCGGGCCAAGTTTCCAAAGAAATCCAGTTATTTATCAGCAGCAACATGACAATATTCTTGGTCTGCTGCCAATCATTCTGTCCCACCCAGTTGCTAAGCAACAGCAAGAAGGGATGGAATAGCCAGCAATAGTCAACTGGGAATATCAGGGACAGGAGATACTCACCGACACCCCCACCCCCCAAAAGGAGAATCCAGCGCATGAGGCCTAGAAAAGCAGAGATCTCAGTGCCTAGAGTGTCTTCTAGATTTTATCTTATTAAAGCAGCCTTGCGTGGGGATGGGTCCCCTTTGATTTGAGGGGTGAGCTGCAGTGCCGCAGTGGTTAGAGCGCAGTCCTGCAGGCTACTTCCGCCTGCCTGCCGGCTGCCTGCAATTGGACAGTTCAAATCTCACCAGGCTCTAGGTAGACTCAGCCTTCCTTCCGAGGTCGGTCAAATGAGGAGCTAGATTGTTGGGGGCAAAATGCTGACTCTGTAAACTGCTTATACTGTGAAGCGGTATATAAGTCTAAGTGCTACTGCTATCTTCCTTCCTTCCTTCCTTCCTTCCTTCCTTCCTTCCATCCATGTGGTTAGAATGCAGCATTGCTGGCTAACTCTGCCCACTGCCAGTTCGATCCTGACTGGCTCAAGATTGACTCAGCCTTCCATCCTTCCAAAGTTGGTCAAATGAGGAGCCAGATATGTTGGGGGCAAGAGGCTGACTCTGTAAACTGCTTAGAGAGGGCTGTAAAAACACTGCGAAGAGTTATACAAATCTAAGTGCTACTGCTATTTATGCAAATGAAAAATCCAGACAAATCAACGGACGGAAGGAAGGCCCTGAAGTCATCTCTGGCCACTCCACAGCCTCCATTAATTCTGTTTCATTAGCAGTCAACCTACACTTGTCGAAAAATAAAGGACTGTTTTGTTCTCACATCGATGCTGACGGATTCAAGCTTTATTCACAGAAGTCAGATCAGAGCACTGGGGGCCTTCCATGGTTCCAAGTTTGCACAGATGCCCTCTGCTGTTTTAAATGGTACTTTCTGTGATGCTAAGCATAAAGACTTGTGCATCTCAACTCCCAGAAGTCCACAAGTCTTAAAGTTGCCAAGTTTGGGGACTCCTGGCTTAGAAGCAGGTGTTGTGGTTCGTTGGCAGCCTGTGCAGATGGCAGCAGAATCGGACAGTGGGGAAGAACGGGGACCAGTCTGGGAGTCTGGGGAGGACTCGGACGAGGGTCCTGCGTGCGATGCAGAGATGGGGCCAGGACCATCTGGGAGTGGGGTGCTGACTCCGGAGCCTCCAGAGTCTGACAGCAGCGAGGGAGAGAAACAAGGGGAACCTGTTCCCAGTGCACATGTGTTACTGTCTGGTTTGGTTCTGCAACCCAACAGGATACAGACTTCAGAGGATAATTAGGACTGCAGAAAAAACAATTACTACCAACTTACCTTCCATGGAGGACCTGCATCCTGCACGAGTCAAAAAGAGGGCTGTGAAAATATCTACAGACTCCTCACATCCTGGACATAAACTGTTTCAACTCCTTCCCTCAAAATGACACTATAAAGTACTGCACACCAGAACAACTAGACACAAGGACAGTTTTTTCCCCGAATGCCATCACTCTGCTAAACAATTAATTCCCTCAACACTGTCCAACTATTTAAAAAGTCTGCATTCTTATTACTATTAATCTTCTTGTCACTCCTTATCATCCCTCTCCTCCCATTTGTGACCATATGACTGTAACTTTGTCGCTATATTGACTGTTCCCTAGGATTTAATTGCTTATTGTACCCTATGACTATCATTCAGTGTTGTACCTTATGATTCTTGACAAATGTATCTTTCCTTTTATGTACACTGAGAGCATATGCACCAAGACAAATTCCTTGTGTGTCCAACCACACTTGGCCAATAAAGAATTCTATTCTATTCTATTCTATTCTATTCTATTCTATTCTATTCTATTCTATTCTATTCTATTGAACAGAGCTAAACAGCAATTGAATAGGAGATCCCCTGGAAATCTCAAAGCTATATAGGCCAACTGAGAAGTTGCAAAACCTCTTAGAAGGGATTAAATTATTTCCATACTGCTGTCAATAAAATGACACAGCTATACCCTGAAACCATCGGAATTAAATCTAAATTCAAAGGAAATATGGTTGCATAGAAAACTTTTTTGCTGAACTTCAAATTTTCAAGGACCTACAAGTCACTTACTGAGGACAGCTGCTCAGTAGCACAACTTTGTGATAAAACTGGGTTCCAACAACAGCAAAACAAATGTTTGATTTGCAGCCCACAACATTACTGCAAAAATGCTGCATGCATTCAGAGAACATAGCAAATGTATGCACGTCACTGTAACATGTTGCAGGAAAAACAGGGAATGAAATGACCTGCATACCTTAATGAAGGTAATTCCCACAACAAGGCCTCTTTTGGGAGATGGTTTGTTGAAAGTGTCAATAGAAACAATCTCAGCATCAACTGGAAAAATAAAAGAGCTACTTATATTGTGCAGGGCTACCAAAGATCACAGAAAGAGCATCATTTTCTCTTGCAGGCAGTTACATTTTACAAATCCATCATTTATGACTTGGAATCTCCTTCATATACAGGTAGCCCTCAGCTTAAGACCACAATCGAGCTCAAAATTTCTGTCACTAAGTGAGACATTTGTTAAGTGAGTTTTGCTCCATTTTATGACTTTTCTTGTTAAGTGAATTGCTGCAGTTGTTAAGTTAGTAACACGGTCATTGAGCGAATCTGGCTTCCCCATTGACTTTGCTTGCTTGCAATTTGGCAGTTCAAATCTCATCAATTCAGATCTCAAGATTGACTCAGCCTTCCCTCCTTCCGAGGTCAGTAAATTGAGGACCCAAATTGTTGGGGGCAAGAGGCCGACTCTGTAAACCGCTTAGAGGGGGCTGGAAAGCAGTGTAAAACATTATATACGCTATGGGCTATTACTCCCTCCCTCCTTCCTTCCTTCCTTCCTTCCTTCCTTCCTTCCATGGTGCACAGTGATTAGAATGCAGTATTGCAGGCTGACTGCTCATTGCCAGCAGTTCGATTCTGACTGGCTCAAGGTTGACTCAGCCTTCTGTCCTTCATAAAATGCTGACTCTGTAAACCGCTTAGAAAGGGCCATAAAACACTGTAAAGCGGTATATAGCTACTGCTATTTTCCTCCCTTCCTCCCTTTCTTTTAGAATGCAATATTGCAGGCTAACTCTGCCGACTGCCAGAAGTTTGATCCTGACCGGCTCAAGGATGGACTCAGCCTTCTGTCCTTCCGAGGTCGATCAAACAAGGAGCCAGATTGTTACACGAGGCAAAATGCTGACTCTCTAAACCATTTAGAGAGGGCTGTAAAAGCACCGTGAAGCGGCATATAAGTCTAAGGGCTATTGCTATTCGGTGACCAAAACTGGATGCAGCATTCCAGGTGTGGTCTTACCAAAAGGATTATAAAGTGGTATTTAATACTTCACGTGACCTTGATCCTATCCCTCAGTTGATGCAGCAGGGAAGACTAGGCAGGAGCCCCCAGCCCCTCTCCCCTAGAACCCCCACCCCAGACATGGGCACACACAACCCCCCACCCTTACCTGGGATGTAGGTGAACTGCACCTCCCTGGCCACCGGCCGCAGGTTCCGCTTCATGTCTTGGTAGCGGAAATAAATGACTTTCCCTTTGAGGGTGGCCACCAGGAGCCCCCCCGGACCTTCCCCGGGGCCCCCCGCCTGGCCGCCCCCACCAAGCCCCGCTGAAAGGTCTGGTCCCCATTGGGATAAGAGCTCTCCCCCGGCTTCCTCCGACCCCGCTGGCCCCTCTTGTCCTCGCCCGCCGCCCCGAGCTGCCCCGGGCAAGGCCGCTAGGCCGTAGACGTTGCTTTGGGAGGAGAAGCGGGTGAAGCTGTCCTCCAGGAAGGCAGAGCTACGGGGAGACTCCATCCCGACTCAGGCACCGCCGGGGACAGCCCCATCCTCCATGTCTTCTCCTCCCCCCCACAGGACGCGACGGCCAAGGAGGGGGGGAGGCTTTCGACGCTACAGTCGCGCTGAGGGTGACGTCACCGGGAGGGCGCGGCGTCGTGGAATATGCGCGTTTGACGGCAGCTAGGCAAGACGGTGACGTCATCTAACAACCGGGCTGGAATGTTTGACCCAGTTTTTGGCTTTGTTTTCATTTTAATCTGAATTGAAAATATTTTTTAAAAAAACATAGGCTTCCTCGGGCAGCCCTTGTTCTTCCCGCACTTAACACACTGCCTCGTTTCCCTCTTCGACGTTGCTTCATCACTGGAGGGTTTTAAGACGAGGCTGGACAGCGGCTTGTCTGAAATAGGATAGGGGTCTTCAAACATGGCAGCTTTAAGACTGGTGGGCTTCAACTCCCAGAATTCCTCCTCCAGTCATGTTAGCTGAGGAATCTGGGAGTTGAAGTCCACAAGTCTTAAACTTGCCAAGTTTGAAGACCCTTGGGATAGGGTATTCCTGCTTGAGCAAGGGGTTAGACTAGAAGACCTTCAAGGTCCCTTCCAGCTCTATTGTGATGGATGGATGGATTGATTGTAAGAGAGCCTAGGGCAAGGATCTTCCAACTTGGCAAGTTTAAGACTTGGGGACTTCAACTCCCAAAATTCCTCAGCTAACGTGACCGGAGGGAGAATTCTGGGAGTGGGAAGTCCACAAGTCTTAAAGCTGTCAAGTTTGAAGACCCCCCCCCCCGCCCCCTGGCCTATGGTGACCTCAAAGCGACATTTTAGAAAACCTGGATTTTTCTAAAGGACAGCAGCAGCATTGTGAGATTTTTGGACTCAACATACTTGGAAAAGTGTTTTGCCATTTCAAAATATCTCGACAAACACAATGAATTTGTAGCCCATTAAAATTTATTTACATTCCACATTAGTCATTATGCCTTTAATAAAAATTTTAAGATCCCTGATCTCTTCTCCTGTTAATAACTTTACCTGTGCTTTCTCCCAATTACAGGTACTCCTCAACTTAGGACTACAATTGAGAGCCAAATTTCTGTTGTTAAGTGAAATATTTGTTACGCGGGTTTGGCCCCACTGCGATCTTTCTTGCCACTGTTAAGGGAATCCTTGCAGTAACACCGTTGTTAAGTGAATCTGACTTCCCCATTGACTTTGCTTGTCAGCAGGTTGCAAAAAAGTGATTGTGTGACACCGCAACTGTCATAAATGAGTCAGTTGTGTGTCTGAATTTTGATCACGTGACCAGGGGGACGCTGCAATGGTCGTAAGTGTGAAAAACAGTCATAAGTCCCTTTTTTCAGTTGCCGCTGTGACCTTGAAATGGTCACACTTACAACTTGTAAGTTGAGAACTACACCTGCATTAAACCATCTGTTCATTTTTTTTCCATTTTACCTGTCACCTTTACTTTAAATCCCAACCATCCCCAACCATTCAGGACGTTTCCGTGGCTGTGTTTCTAACCAAAAGACGTGGTACAGAATCAAGGTATTCGCTTTCAAGGTAATACAAGATCTAAATTGGGAGTCACAAACGCCAGCTTTCATGCTTTATTTCTAGTTTGTACTTTTAACAAGGCAAGAACAGTTTACAAAAATTCTACTGGTCTAAATCACGCCGGGAGGCAGGTAATCCAAGTTATGCTTCTGTGAACACATCGTACTGTCTCTTCTAATCTGGCTGGTTTTACCACTTCCACATCACCTGGCCATTAGTTCTGTGACAAGAGGTGTTAAGCACAAGCAGCAGCAAATATGAGATGTAACGAATGTTTTATGACTTCAGAGCTATATAAGGTTTGAAATAAAGCAAGCTCTGGAGTCAAGTCAAACGTGGACCGTTCCAGCAAGTTGTGGAATCAGGGCGTTAGTCCAATTCTTGTGAATTAGGGATAACTTATTTTAGCATGGACGAGTAAGACAAACTTTACTGTCATTTAGATTAGGGGTCTCCAACCTTGGTGACTTTAAGCCTGGTGGACTACAACTCCCAGAATTCCCCAGCCAGCTTTGCTGGCTGGGGAA